GTATGCTGCGGCTTCCTCTTCCTTGCTGACATATGCTGCGGCTTCCTCTTCCCTGCTTACGTATGCTGCGGCTTCCTCTTCCCTGCTTACGTATGCTGCGGCTTCCTCTTCCCTGCTGGCGTATGCTGCGGCTTCCTCTTCCCTGCTAGCATATGCTGCGGCTTCCTCTTCCCTGCTTACGTATGCTGCGGCTTCCTCTTCCCTGCTTACGTATGTCGCGGCTTCCTCTTCCCTGCTTACGTATGCTGCGGCTTCCTCTTCCCTGCTTACGTATGCTGCGGCTTCCTCTTCCCTGCTGACGTATGCTGCAGCTTCCTCTTCCCTGCTGACGTATGCTGCGGCTTCCTCTTCCCTGCTGGCATATGCTGCGGCTTCCTCTTCCCTGCTTACGTATGCTGCGGCTTCCTCTTCCAACCCGTCGCGTTTGCGATGACGTGGCTGCGGTGGCGATTCTGGCGACGCTTCGTCACCTGTCACGTTGACCTCATCACGCCGTGTCATCACCTCACGGCGCGAATGTTCATATCGCGCAACACTAATCTCAACCTCCTTCTCATTCTCCTCTTTCTTCTGCTCTTCTTCCTTCTCCTGTGTGCTTTGTATCACAGCTCCTTCTCTCTTGCCTTCATCGACGCCTCTTTCTTCCCATCCTATCGCAGCTCCTTCTCTCTTGCCTGCATCGACGCCTCTTTCTTCCCATCCTATCGCAGCTTCCTTCTCTCTTGCCTGCATCGACGCCTCTTTCTTCCCATCCTATCGCATCTGCTTCATTCTCCTCTGTCGGTGTATCGCTTACTTCTCTTACCTCGTGCTCGGTATGTATCACAAATGTTTCTCTCTGGCTTGCATCGTCATCCTCTCCTACTGTCCGGTGTTCCGTTGCTATCACAGCTGCTTCACTCTCCCTCTCAGCAGTATCATCATCATCATCATCATCATCATCATCATCATCATCTCTTGCATGATGTTGCTGAGCACGTGTGAAAACACCGTCGTCGTGTTCCTCCGCCGCATCACGCTGCCGCTCAATCTCGTCGTCGATGCCAACACGGGAAGTGGCTGCTTCATCCTCTAGAACTTCTCTCTTATGGTCGTGGTTGTCGTGGCGATGCGCGGACCATGCGGCGGAGTGTGCGACATCCCCGTCGTTGATAGCTTCGTCATCTCTCTCAGCTTCCTCATGATCGCTCACATCGTCTCTCTTGCGACTTTCCTCAGCCTCCTCTTCATCCACCTCCTGCTGCTGATTCGACGCGCTACTATCCGCATGCAGAACTTCATCTCTCTCAGCATCCAACGCAAAGTTGCCACGGGAACGCTCCCCGACCTCTTCCTCAGCATCCCTAACTGACAGAGCAGCTGGCTGCTCCTTCCCTGCTGCGGAGGGGATGTCCTCCCTGCTTTCCTCACCACCATACGCACCCGGCTCATCTATCTCACCTCCCACCTCGGGGAGGTAGCCCTTCTCCTCTTCCTCCTCCTCCTCCTCCTCCTCCTCCTCCTTCTCCTCCTTCTTCTCCTCCTCCTCCTCCTCCTCCTCACGCTGTGTGGCGATCATGGCTTCTCGCTCAGCCTCAATGACGGCAGCAGCGAGCTCGACGCGGAAGTCCAGTGCTTCGCGCTGTAGCTCGATCGTTGCGCGGATGCACGGCTCGGAGCTCAGGATGTCGGCGATGTCGCCGTCGCTGCCGTCCGGCGTGTCCGTCACCATGGCAACGGTGGGGCTGCTGTCTGCCAGCTCTGTCTCTGCCAGCTCTGTCTCTATCTCTCCTGGTGCTGCCAGCTCTGTCCCTATTTCTCCTGGTGCTGCCAGCTCTGTCTCTATCTCTCCAGGTGCTGCCAGCTCTGTCTCTATATGTCCAGGTGCTGCCAGCTCTGTCTCTATTTCTCCTGGTGCTGCCAGCTCTGTCTCTATCTCTCCTGGTGCTGCCAACTCTGTCTCTATTTCTCCT